TCTTCAGTGTGAATGGAGTGATGAGCAGGAGAGTGAACCAGGGACAAGTGAGAGTGGGAAGATGAGGACAGGAGAGGGTTCAAGGGAAGATAAATGGATAACTAAAATGTAGTCTATGCATACAACAGAATATTATCTTATATAATGAAAGGCTAATATGCAAATCGACCGAATGATGGAATGACCGGTCGCTATGACGTGCACTGACCATCAGGGGGCAGACGCTTAACTCAGGAGCTGCCCCCTGGTGGTCAGTCTGGTCCCACAGGATGAGTGCTGCTCAGCCAGAAGCCGGGCCCACGGCTGGGGAATGCAGCAGCAGTGGTGGCAGTGCTAAGATGTCTGACTGCTGGCTTAAGCCCACTCAGGGAGTGAGCCTAAGCCAGTCCCACAGGATGAGTGCTGCTCAGCCAGAAGCCGTGGCTTAAGCCCACTCAGAGAGTGAGCCTAAGCCAGCAGTCAGACATCCCCCAAGGGCTCCTGGACTGTGAGAGGGCACAGGCCAGGCTGAGGGACCCCCTTCCCCCAGTGCACAAATTTTGTGCACTGGGCCTCTAGTCCAATAATAAAAAGGAATAAAGTTGAATACATGCTACAACATGGATGAACTTTTGCTTATGAGAACACTAAAAGGAAAATGTCAAAACAAGTGGGTTTTAGCTCAAATATTTTTATTTTCATAAAAGGGACCTAGTCTATCCAAATCAAGCTGTAAAAACACACAACTTTTCCAACATGTAAGATGGAAATAAAAAACATTTTTAAAAGTTTACTATAACTAACAAAACTTCCAGTCAAGATAATTACATGGAAATTATATTAGAAGGGCTTGATAAATACTTTGTTGTAGAGTGCGCACTGGCCTCACGTGTTTAGTATCAAAGTGCTTTGAGCTTTTCCAAGTCTGAGTCCTCTGGAGGGGCCGCTCACGAGTGTGTCAGCATCCCCACTCCCAACCTGCTTGCATTTACTCAGTGGTATTTCCTACCACGTCCTTCCCATGGCCCCTGCCAAAGTACTCACCACATTTATAACCAATTTATAGTTTTGAGTCATCATGTCTGTATAAAATATCCGTTTCTGTGAACCGGGGGCGCAGGCAGGAGAAAGAATGTCAATCCTCGGTCAGGAACGCGCTCCCCCAGTGAGAACATCACTACTATAAAAAATTATTTTCCTTTTACAATGCTGTCCCCAGGACATGGTGATTTGACCATTAAAATTACCTGTAGGCATGCACGAGGAAAAAAAGATGGAGCTACATATCTGGCAGGCATGGCAGAGGGAGAAGAAATCGGGATAAAAACACAAAAGGCAGCAGAACAAGAACTAGTATCTCCTTCCCTTCTCACTCCCTGCGCACCCGACGGCACCCTCTTTCCTCCCCTTCTCCTACCTTTGTAACAGCGATGAGGAGTTTCCTCCACAGCAATTATGGAAGCACGTTATCCTCCAGTCCCGCTGCCTCATTTACAGGCGGGGAAACCCAGGACCAGAAAGGGAACGGGCCTAAACCATGGTTCTAAAATTGTGTTTTAAGTGCTCTGGAACCCTCTGTTCAGAGGAAATCATCCAAGAAATATAAAGAGTTAAAATAAGAGTTGATCTAATGGGCATCCTCGCCTTGGGCCTGGAGGACCCCCAGGGAGGCTCTGTGAGGCAGTGTTAAAATACTGGTTTAAAGTGACAGGTGAGCCGAGTCCTGGTCCTGCTCCAAAGCCATAGCCATGGTTCTGTATTTATATATATATATATATATATTTCTACATTCTTGATACTCTGGAATCTGGAGCTCACTGACTATGGGAACTGCCCCTCCTAGGGTTAGCTAAACTAACCAATCCTAAACCTGTCCGCCCTGTACCTGCCTCATCTGTTCCTTCCTGTGAAAACACTAGTCTCCTCCCTATGCACCCCCGTCACTCCCTCTGCCT